CCTCACAAACAATATGAGCTAAGTGTACTTATATAGAATCACTACGTGAATACCTGGTGGTACTACTAAGCACGTTATACTTAACTACTTTCTCTAGCTATTGAACCTTCTGGTTCTTCTACATTTTATATAGTCATCTAATGTGTAATAGCTTTTTGCAACAGTCACCTGACTGTTGTCTCACACTCTCCCCCACCTTCATTGAGAACCGTCCCGGTTCTCTGTCATATTCTTCAATCGGGCCTCCAAGATTGCTCTTCTTGTGGGGTGGAGGTGTCGCATGTAGTTCTCTGGATATATACCCGCTAATCCTGGAGGGCAGTCCAGAAACATCAACACAATCTCCTTAGTGCGCTCAAGTTTTCCGCAGAGCGCTATTACTTCTTCGGCTCTGGCTTTAAATTCTGCCTGTGTCCGTGGGGGAGTCTTTGGGTATCGCTCGTCCCCACTATGGTATCTCTTTAAGTACTCAATGTTGATTACTCGGTGTTTCTTTGTAGTACTTGGGAGATCTACTTCGTAGGCATTCTCGTTAATCTGTTTTACCACACGGAATGGTCCAAAATAAACAGGTGTTAATTTCGCATATCTTACGGTCTCAAAATAAGCCTTACGATGTATTAGGATCCATTCTCCTAACTCGAAATGTTCTGCTCTTCTGTGCCTATTAGTTTGAATCTCATTTTCTTTCTGTGCATCTGTGATATAATCCTGAGTCCGGAGACATATCGCCTTTTGACTCTTGATCCAATCCTCATTATGTGTCAGCGATCCGTTTGCAAGTATGCTGTGTATTCCTTTTGGATGTCTTCCAAGGTCAGCGTAAAACGGTGTAGTCTTAATCGACTTTTGGATACTGTTATTGTATGCAAATTCCATCATTGCTAATCGACTATCCCAGTTATGCAATTCCTCCTGTCCCAATGTTCTCAACATGCGGTTCAAGGTTGCATTCATCCTTTCTGTTTGTCCATCTGTCTGAGGATGTATAGCTGTAGCCATTTTCAATTTGATTCCTAAGGCCCTCGTAACTTCTCGCCAGAAATTATTCTTGAATCTGAAATCTCTGTCTGACACAATCAGGTCTGGTATCCCATGGTATTTAAATACATTATCTGTTCTGTTATTAGTTCTACTATTTCTGGTGCTGAGATCTTTTTCGTACATGGTATGAAATGGGCTCGTTTTGTCAATCTGTCGACTACTACAAGGATTGCATCTCTCCCTTTTTCTGTTGTAGGTAGCCCTGTGACAAAATCCATCAGTATTGAGGACCACCTTCCTACCGGTATTTCTAAAGGTTTTAATAGCCCCGGTTTTAACTGAGTAGAATGTTTGGTTGTCTGGCAGATGTGACATTTTTCCACGAATCGACTCACATCTTTGTATATCTTTGGCCAATAGTACGATCTGCTGATGTTGCCGGTCGTAATGTACTTCCCAAAATGACCCGCCATTTCGTCGGAATGACATTTCTCTAGTACTTCTCTTTTCAATTCTTCTGGTATACATAACCTATTTGGATTACCATCTCTCTCGTATGCGGGTGCATAGTAAAGTAATCCATCTTCTAGTCTGAAATTCTTAATGTAATACGCCATAGGTTGCTCTGGTAAAGCAACTTCTAATAATTCTTTCACTTCCTTGAACTTCTTATCCTTCTCGTACCCTTCTCTTACTCTCTCGAGAAACTCCTCCGATTGTAAAGGTGCCTCAATGGTTGTCACCGTTTTTATATCGATACCAGTGGTGCTGCGGCTCAACGCATCAGCTGCTTGATTTTTTGCACCCGGTAAATATTCGATGTCAAAGTCATAATCGGCAAGGAAATCTAACCATCGTGTTATCCTTCCAGAAGGAATATTTTTCTGATTTAAAATAAACTTCAATGAATGATGATCAGTCCGAATTTTAAAAGATTCACCTTTCAAGAGGTGTTTATATTTCTTTAAAACTTCAATAATCGTTAAGAATTCCTTTTCTCTGGTTGGGTACTTCTTTTGTTCTGGTTGGAATGATTTGCTAAAGTAAGCGATGATCCCTTTGAAATCACCCGTTTTTCGGTCTCTTTGTTCAATGGTGGCCCCCATCGCTTCGTCCGACGCATCTGTTGTGACCACATAATGATCCTCGCGATTTGGCGCGATGAGCATTGGAGCTTCTGTTAGTTTCTTCCTCAAGGCCTTCCATGCTCTCTCTTGACTTATTCCCCAATCTTCTTTTTGGTTTGCATATTTCTGGAGGGGTTGTGCCACTCTCAGATATTGGGCTACATACTTCCTATAAAAGTTGGTTAACCCTAGAAATCTTTGGGCATCCTTATATGATTTGGGTGTTGGCCAGTCTTTTATGGCAGTGATCTTATCAGCTGCAGGCCTGGTTCCCTGTTGTGTGATCACATGACCTAAGAAGTCTACTTCTGTTAGCATAAATTCACACTTATTCTCTTTCACTACTAGCCTGTTTTCTTGAAGTATTCCGAACACTTCTCTAACATCATTCTTATGTTGTAATCTATCCTTACTGTGGATAAGAATGTCGTCCAAGTATACAATCACACTCCTCCCTAGCATTGGTCTTAGGATAGCGTTCATCATCCTTTGGAATGTCGCCGGGGCATTGCATAGTCCAAACGGCATGACATTCCATTCGAATAACCCCCTGTTAGTCGTAAACGCTGTCTTGTGTCGGTCGATCTTTTGGGTCTACTGGGATCTGGTGATATCCTTGAGCTAAGTCTATCTTCGTAAAGTATTTCAGTGACCCTACTTCATCTAACAAATCTTCAATGTGTGGAAGTGGGAACTTATCCTTTATTGTTTGAGCATTTAAAGCTCTATAATCTACGCACATCCTCATTGAGCCATCTTTCTTCTTTACAAAGCATATAGGCGCGCTATATGGACTTTGGCTTGGCTTTATAAAATTCCTTGCAATTAAACTTTGCAACTGTTTTTGAAGCTCATCTTGCTCCTTTACCCCTAGCCGATATGGTGGTCTCACCGGTGGGATGCTTCCTTCTTTGAGAGCTATTCTGTGGGAGGTCCCTAGTTCCTCTACCTTACGCCCCAACTTCTCTTGATCGAATACAGTCTCATAATCCTGCTTGAGATTCGCTAGTAATTGTTTTTGCGTCTCATTCAAGCTTCCTTTACTCTTTTTATCCGAATGAGCTTTAACTATGGCCCATTCGAGTCTCTCTCTTCGATCCTTATCAATTTCTTCTGCGGAAACTAGACGAATTTTAACCTGGTCTTTCTCTTCCTCTTCGTCTATCGGTTTCCTTGTCTGCGACTCTTCCTGGAGCCCTTCCTTTACCTCCTCTGGGCTATTAGCGTCCTG